GAGGGAGAGGGAGAGGGAGAGGGCATGGACAAACATGTGGGCAAAGCACCTATATACATAAAATGAATAATAAATTTGTTGGGCGGGGGGAAACAGGTTGTAACTGGATAAAGCTTAAAACTCCCTAAAGTAGAGTACTACAGATTCTGTTTAGATTGACAAATGATAGAAAAATCTCACGAGGAAAATGGACCCAAGATATGGAGAGTGCAACCCAACTCAATGGTTGCCAACAGAGTTCCAAAGCTACATAGAAGAGTAAAGAAAATTCCATGGGGGAAATTCAAGGTCATGGCATTACCACTATCCCATCAGACCAATCAGAAATGGGAGACCGTCAAGGAACAAGAGAGATCCCTCACGCTGGAAAGAAAAGCTTCTCATTTTTGACAGTTAAGTGCAAGGAAGAATAAAATATGCCTGGGCTTTGTTTTTTTCCAAGTGCTTGAAAGTTTTAGTCACTAACACTTTCATCGGAGTTGAAATTATTTAGCACTTAGTATGAATTTAAAGAAAGGGACAGAGTCGGGAGGTGGTGGAAGAGGTGGAAAGAATTCCTAGTACCTCGGATGGGGCAGAGAACATGTTGGATTCCTCCAAGTTGGCTTACAGAGCACCACCTGTGATATCCATCACACTCCCACGCCAAAGAGAAAGCATCAAAATTAAACCAAGGGACCTCCGAGGAATCTTTGGAGGGAAAGGTCGATGAGGAGGAAATGGCTCATGTTCTCCCCATTGATAGAAAAATCTCATGAGGAAAATGAACCCAAGATATAGACAGTCCAGTCCAACTCAGTGGTTGCCAACAGGTTCTGATTCCTGATGCACAGAGTCAGACCTGACTGTTGATTGGAAGTCACTTTGGTTACTTCTCATTTCTTTCTGAGCTGTTGGGTTCTCCTGCCAGAGCCTCTCCTGCTGGAATCTTGCTTGCCTCCATCACAGCTGTCAGCTACTGAACCTCCCAGAAAAGAGGGAATACACATCCAGGCCTTTCCTTCATTAAAGTTAACTGACATAACAGATACAGTGTATAGCCATAGTTTTATAAGAAAAATAAATGGGTGTGTGAGAATTCAAGTGGAAATCTCCTTGATCAGAAACAGGAGGGAAGTGTGTGTTGGGGTGGTGGGGGGCAAAGTGTCAAGACTTTATGTAAATCAGCCAGAGATGCTGCTGCAAAGACTCACATTTTTATTCCTGCAAAACAATCTAGTCAATCAGTTGAGACAACGTGTACACACACCCCCCCCTCAGATTCTTTCTTCTATGTGATTTTTACTTTTACATGTGTAAATGCGACACAATTTACACTCACTGGGGAAGAGAGTCTCAGTGAAGGATTGAATAGATCAGGTTGGTTTGTGGAAATGCCTGTGAAGACTATCTTGATTGTGTTCACTGACATGGGAAGACTCAGCCTAAATATAGGGAGCACCATTCCCTGAGCTAAGTACTTGATTGTACAAGAACTAGAGAAAAAAAAAGAAAGAAAAAAGAAAAAAACGAGTCAAGCATAGGCTTCCTTCCCTTCTTTCCTTCCTTCCTCTTTCTCTTTTGCTTTTTCTTACTTAACCTCCCCCCATCCCTCCCTCCTTCTGTCTCCCTCTCCCCGCTTCCCCCTCTAATCCTCTCCCCCTGCTGAGGGTGGATCTAATTAGATGCTTCAAGCTCCGGTCTCGACTTCCGACAATGATTGCGACTTGGAATTGTAAGCTAAACTGAACCCTTTCTCCTCTAAGTTGCTCTTCTCTGGATGGTTTTTGTTTTTATCACAGCAACAGAAATGACATTAGATCATCCTACAAACACTTTCTAGATTGGCTCAGCTCTAGTACCCAAATACTCAGCGTTAAAGTGAAATCGGTTGGTTTTATGACACGAGCATCTTCCCTGCGTGCTACCATATCCCCAAGTGTATTACTGTGCCCCACATAGATAGTACTGTATCTCACGATGGTATTATTTGCACCCACGTGTGTGTCATATATCTCACGTGGGGGCGGTAGAGTGGCTAGCTGGACTTCGCTGACTCCAGGGACCAGCGGCGGCCACATCTCCAGAAAACACGGGAAACGAGGAAAATTTAACCCACGAGAGACGGCATCCTGCCGCGACCCCATCTCCTTGAGTTGCATAGCGAAGGAACGTCCTTGCCTGCCTTCTAGAATCCTTTTGCTAGGCTGCAAAGCAACCTGCCACAGTCAGGGAGGAAGAGAGAGCCGGCTTCAGAAACAGCCTGACCGTTGCGCAGGCGCAGCCCATAGCTTTCAGGAAGCCACTTCCTGCCTGGTTTCCTAGCAACGGGGGAAGCGTTGTTGACATCCGCAGAAACTGCAGCTCAGGCTTGAGAGTGGAGCTGTCCCACAGGCGCGATGGTAAATCGGGGTTCTTGTCTGGAAGGGTAGAGGGGGAGACCCATGTGCACAGCTGTCCTGAGAGGGTCTCACCATTTACTGGATGACAGCTGGAAGGGACGCTATTGAGAAACGGGAGGTGCTGAGACGAATCTGGGAACTAGGAAAGTTTGCAAAGAGCGATGATGGCGGTGGAGAAAGATCTCAGGCTGAAAAAGAACCGGACCGGGAGAACCAGAAAGGAAAATCAGGAGGGAGGGGCGAAGAATGGAGAGAGGAAGCGGGGAGGAGAAAGAGAAGGCGGGGAGGATGCTACCCCAACCTTGCTTGCACCGAAAAGGAAGAAGAGGGAAGAGGGGAAAAAATAAGGGGGAAAAAGAAAGGCAAGGGGGAAGAGAAGAGAAGGAAGGGGATGAGAAAGAAACGAAGGAAAAGAAGTGGAGATAAAGGAAGGGGCGAGAAGAGAGGAAGGGAGAGGAGGAGAGGCACAGGGGTGGCCTGGGGGACTCAGGAGATTGCGATAAGGATTTGGAAGTCGGAAGAGAACCACCTTGAAGGAGAGGAAAGTTAAGTGAGGAGCAGAGAGTGGAAAGGAGCAATGGAGGAAGGGAGGAGAAAGTCCGTGGCTTTGAGGAGTTGTACACTCTCCTAAGATGATCAGAACTGTGCCAGTTTGTGGATATTCTGTGCCAGACATAAGGAGACCAAGAAATGCCAAGTGTCATAGATATACCCCAAGAAAAGATGTCAACATTTACTGGTGTTTGGATTTCTTGTTTGGTTGGTTGGGGTTTTTGTTTGTTTGTTTTTGTTTTGTGTGTTTGTTGTTTGTTTTTGCTGTTCTATTTGTTTTTGGTGTTTTGTTTGGTTTTAGTTTTGTCCCTGGCACTCTCAGATTCTTGCTATTACTATCATTGGCAATGTCTCCTTTTCAGAGGACACCTCAGCCTCAGAGCTTTCGTGGCACTGAAATGTAGAAATATGCCCTCTTCCTTTGTTTTTACAGTCCTCTTTATTTGTGACAGGGAACCAGTTTTTAACCTGTGATGGCAATGCTAGGTCTCCTCTGCAGATGCATTTCTTTAAGCTTTGGACCATGGTGTAAAGAACATGCTAAATTCAATGTTAATAGTGTCCATCGTGAGGAAAGCCATGAATCCAGCATGACATTTCCTCAAACTCAGAAGACACCTGCCCTGGTGTTGGGAAAAACAAGGAACATGCTCGCTCACGTCCACATTGGGTACAAAAGAAAACCTGTCTCTGACTGAAGTAACATAAAGTTCACTTGTGAGATGTTGAGAAAGAAAATGAAAGAATAGATTCTCGTCACAAAACTGCCAGGCTAAAGTGGGGCATGGTAATGCCTGTCTGGAGTCCCAGCACTCAGGAGGCTGAGGCAGGAGGATTGCCACAAGTTCAAGACCACACACTGACCTATATAGTGCGAAATTCTATCTCAAAAAAAAAAACTTCAAAAAATATTCCATATGAGGCTGCAGAGAGAGCTCATTGGTTAAAAGTACTAAGTCCTCTTGCAGAAGACCCAGGTTCAATCCCCAGCACCCCATGGTAGCTCACAACTGTCTGTAACTTTATGCCTAGGTGATCCTCCACTGGCCCTAGGCATGCACATGGTGCACAGACATACATGCAGACAAACATCCATACATGTAAAATAATAAAATATATCTTAAAAGAAATGTGAATACTCACCATGTGCTGTTGGGAATAAGACAGCATAGGGGGCGGAGTGGTTTTATTCACAGCTCAAAAAGGTGAACATAAAACCCAGCTGTGTGCAAAGAGGATTGCAACAACTTGAGACCCCCTGACCTCCACAATGAGGGTCAGGCCAGCCAGGGTCCCATAACAAGATTGTCTTTAAAAAAAAAATGTAAAGCAGCCAGGTGGGTTGGCACATGCCTTTAATCCCAGTGCTCAGGAGGCAGAGGCAGGTGGATGTCTGGGATTGAGACTAGCCTTGTCTGCAGAGCAAGTCCAGGACAGCCAGGGCTACATAGAGAGATCCTGTCTCAAAAAACCAAAACAAAGTCTGCACAGTGGGGAAGTATTTGTTGCATGACCATGAGTACACATGTGACCCCCACACCTGTGGAGGAGCCTTGGAGAGCCAGACATAGGGTGCCCAGGGGCGGAGTGAGAATCAGACAGCCATGGTCCACCCTGGCAGGCAGCTGCTCAAACACACACACAGACTGGCTCTATTGTGAGGGCGGCTGGTTCCATTTCCTTTCTCTGTTTTACATTGTTGGTTTTGTTTTTAAAACAGGGTTTTGAAACTGGTCTGGAACTCACAGAGATCCTCCTGCCTCTGCATCCCAAATGCTCAGTTAAAGATGTAAGACACCAAACCCAGTCCATTCAGAAATATTTTTGGTTTTGGTTTTGGTTTTGGTTTGATACAGGCTCTTACTATGTGGCCCTGGCTGTCCTGGAACTTATTCTGTAGACCAGTCTGGCTTTGAACTCACAGATCCACTTGCCTATGTCTCCTAAGTGCCAGCCAGCACATTTGGAGATTTTTGAGATTACTTTTAACCAGTTTCTAGTGTCCGCCTTCTTGAGAACAGTTCATCCTGGAATCCAGCAATGAATTCATTTCTGGCTTCTACCCTGGGATCTGCAGTTCCTGGAAGGTGGTAACAGGGACCTTTCTTTCTTCAGTGGCAGCCTATTGTGTAGCAAAACTTAGTGTGTTGTGAGGCCCCTATGGACCACAGGACCAAACTCCAGCAGGCCCCTCTCTGCCGTGCCATGGAGGGTGTAGCAAGATGTGACTGTACCCAGCTCCAGCTTTTGAGCCTCTTGGCCCTTCCCTGAGACCCCTGCACTGTAAAGACCCGGAGGAACTCTGGTTATTTTTCCAGAGGCTGCCACTGAACTGAATGTGTGTAGTTAACAAATTATCACATCAATGCCTGAGTCCAGAGCCTAAGAGACACCACTGGGTCCTTCCAGAAGTCACTGCACCTAATACCCTGCCCTGGAAACACCCAGGGCCCGCCCTCAAGGCTTAACTGAATGTCTCTCTCACCCACAAGACTTGGCGGCCCAGGGCGGGGTCCGCCTGCCTCCCTCCCACCTCCATGCCAGCTAAGAATAAAGTCCTCTCCATAACTCAGAAAAATAAATAAATAAATAAAATAAAACCCAGCTGTGAGTCCCAAACACAGACATTCATGGTCAAACATTCAGCTTAAACCAAGGCTCAACCAGGGGACTCCAGCATCCTGCAATATAGTGTTTACATACAATGCCCTTTGTAACATATAGATCACCAGAATGAACCCCCAATGGGAGTAAGAGAAGTTACTAAGATGTCTCAGAAAGGGCAGCTTTGGGGCACTCGGAGGATACAGCGATGACCTACAAATATTTAAAAGCTATGACATAGGAAAGAAGGGTTTTTGTATGGAAATGGGAGCTTCCGAAAGATGACCCACGGTAGCTTTCTGGGCAATGTAAAAACCAAACAAACAAACAAATAGACGTTACCCTTCTGGCCAATAAGAACATAGAAGCATTAGGGATCCCTTGTGAAGCTCTCTGTCTTCGTTGGGGCTGGCGCCTGGCAATCTATCTAGGTTATATGCAAGCTGGGGCCTCTTCCTCAGTCCCCGTAAGAGATCTAACGGTTCCAAGCTTACCTTGTAACCACCTAAGCATGTTGTCTCCGCCTCTCAGTCAAAGAAAAGGGGACTGGGGATGTTCCTAGATATTCTCTAGAGTTGATGGAAACCATGGACACCCTTCAAGTTAATGGTGGCCCCGATCTCTTGCAGACAGAAGTGGAGGAGACCCTCAAGAGAATCCAGAGCCACAAAGGGGTCATCGGAACGATGGTGGTCAATGCAGAAGGTAACTCTTGTCACAGGCTGACTGGGCTCCACACACCCAGAGGAGATCCATTTATCGTGTCAAGAGTGAAAATATTTACATTAGATTTGGAACGTTAAAGCACGTTTTGTCTGTGTCAGCTCTAGCAGTTATTCATCGGACATCTATGGGATACATACTGTATACCAATCATTTCTCCAAGAACCAGGCCACACAAACATTGTCTACAGTACCTACACACCACACACACACACACACACACACACACAAGAAAACACTACACAGCATCTTCTTCAGAAATTCTGATAATTAACATCATAGCCCTTTGGGAGGGCCAGCAAAGCTCTCTTGTTGAGGAGAGGAGAAATTATGTGATTGGTAATTTGGTTTTGGCCTAAGGTTACAAAGGCCAAACCTTCGATTTAAATTAACAGTTTCCTTTATCATAGTTAGAAAAGAAAAAGTTTTAAAATCTGTTTTAATAATGATTCTAGTTTATTATTTGACAAGTTTGTATGTGTCTATAATGTATCTCGGTCATCCCCACCTCTCCAAGTCTTGCCAAGAGCCTCCAACACAAGAATTCACTTGGTAGCATTTCAGGAATAGTCTTGGAACTAATGGGCAGGAAGGCACAATAGCTTGCCAGCTATGAAGTGCGGATACTGGCCCAGGACTCACACTGTCTCTGGACCACTCACATCTGCATAGTGAGCCTGCAAAGACAGATCAGTGGGTAAAGCTGCTTGCTGACAAGCCTGAAGACCTAAGTTTTATCCCCAGCAGCCAAGTGCTAAAAATAGATAACTGGATAACTGACTCCAACAACTTGTCCTGACTTCCACATATGCACACGTACAGGTGCATGTGCACACAGGCACTCAAGCATCTCCCTCTCCCTTCCTCCCCCCCCCCACTGAAAATGGCATAGCATTTTTCTCTGCCTACTTGTTGCTCCATGCTCTGCCACAGTAGCCACCTCTTAAAGGTTAGCTCGTCCCTTTGCTAGTTCGGGCATCTATAAGAGTTAAGAGGTGCCAAAAATTCCAGAGCGTCCTCTGAAATAAGAGTAGCCACTTCCCAAAATTCACAGTGCCAACCATAGAATCGGCTGATCTCTGGCTCGGTGTTGTGGTGTAACCAGTCAGCAAACGCTTATTGGGCAAATACCAGCTAAGAGACTCGAAATTCTGCACTCTGTCCTTGTCATTAAGGATGGAAAGATAACCCCAGTTCCTGGTGGTTGTGGCTGTCAGGTGAGAAGACTATCAAGTGCCCAGTTTAATAGCCAGTACTTAATAGGACTCTAATTAGAGAATCTCTGAGAACTTTTATTTATTTGGTTGAGATTTGCAGAGAAAACTTTTGACTTGTTTTATAAAATAAAAAATAACCCTGCCAAATTCAAGTAGTGACAGGGACTATGCCTGAAGAACGAGGGAGAAAGGGTTAGAATCGTCTGTACAGGAAATGAAAAGCTGGACCTTATATTTCCAGGAAGTGGTCAACTCTTGGTGTAGCCCTGGCTAAACAGGTTCTGCTTCCAAGTATTTGCTCCATGGTCTCATACCCTGACCTACATGAGCTCCCTGTGTGATTTAGCAGAGGTGCCTTGTAAGTTTCCTTTAGCCATGTCAACAAATACCACACACTCTTTGGCTCTGAATAGCAGAAATGGGAGCTGGGGAGATGGCCTGGCCGGTAAAGTTATTGCTGTGCAGGCATGAAGACCTGATCCCCAGAACCCATGTGAAAAGGCAGGTGTTATGGCTTGTATGTGCTTGGGCCAGGGAGTGGCACTATGAAGAGGTGTGTCCTTGTTGGAGTGGGTGTGTCCTTGTTGGAGTGGGTGTGGCCTTGTTGGAGTAGATGTGTCACTGTGGGTGTGGGCTTTAAGACTCTTGTCCTAGCTGCCTGGAAGTCAGTATTCTAGCAGCCTTCAGATGAAGATGTAGAACTCTCAGCTCCTCCTACACCATGCTTGCCTGGATGCTGCCATGCTCCCTCCTTGATGATGATGGACTGAACCTCTGGATAAGCCAGCCCCAATTAAATGTTGTCCTTATAAGAGTTGCCTTGGTCATGGTATCTGGTCTCAGCATTAAAATCCTAACTAAGGCAGTAGGTATAACAGCCATGCTCCCGAAATACAAATATTTGGGGGAAGAGGAGACAGGGGTTTCCCTGGGGCTCCCTGACCAGGCAGCCAGATGAATTTGTAAGGTCTAAGTTCTCTGAGATACAGTTTCAGTAAAATTAAAGTAAACTGATAAAGATCCCAATGTGAACCTTTGACCTACATATGCAATCCTGTGTACACAAACATGCATATACACCACACATTTAAAAAAAAAAACCTACAGGAATTTATTATGTCTCTACCTAGAAGGTTGAACTCGCAGCCAGCATGTCACTGGGTCATGGTCTTTCTGATGACTCTAAGGCTGGAGGCTTCTTGACCTCTTACCAGTGTCTGGTGGTAGTAAAATCATTATCACCCTACTACAGTAGGTTACTCTACAGACAGGTTACCTTACTATACCTATGAGGGCCCACCCTGACCCAGTGTGGCTTCGTTTTAACTGATTGCCTCCACGGAGAACCTCTGTCCAAATAAGCTCATCTTCTGAAGTTTAGGGTAGACTTACATTTTGAAGAACACTTCAACCCAGTACAGGCACAGTCTCCTGTGGTACCCAGGCCAGTGCTGCTACTGTGTTTTACTGCAGTGCCTTCATCTAAAGCACACAAAGTGGTGAGGTGCATCAGCTGTCTGAAGAGCATCACACCAATAAGCAAGGGAGAAAGGATTTGGATCCCAGACCAAAAGCAGGGGTGAAGTGACAGGAAATGTTTTTGGATCATTTATACAGACTGATGCAAATAAATACTCCAAGTATACCTGTGTGGGGAGGAGCTGGGGAAGTTCCTCGTTGATGGAGTGCCCGCCTAGCATGAGTAGAGCCTTGGGTCCTGTTGAATAAATAGGGCACGGTGGGACATGTCCATAATCCCAGAACTGGGGAGGTGGAATCAGGAGTTCAAGGTCATCCTCAGCTACATAGAGAGTTTGAGGCCAGCCTAAGGTGTGTGACACCCTGTTTTGTCCCCACCCCAAAAAATGCATAAAAAGAATGAGGTGGGAAAGATTCAGATGTTAGAGTAACTCTCCCCAAGTAGCAAAATCAGAAGTAAAGTTTGATCTCCTGCACTTCTTGGTGAAAATTTCTCTGGGTTTCTTGTTGAAAGCAACAACAACAACAACAAAATGTTATTTTTAATTCCATAAGCTTTTCTCTAACTTCAACTAGGATAATATTATGTCAGGATTCAGGGCACTTTTTCAAGGGTTGTGGAAACTTGGTTTTTACATGAAATCAAATTAACATTCTTCCCCAAAATATATAAGCAAGGGGCTTATTTTTTTGGTGAGATGGTTAACGACCAGAGCAGGACCAGGGGTATTTCCTGATGGCGCATGGTGTAAGTTTCGTGACCTGAGTCTAGCAAAACACTCAGCCTCAACAGTGGACTCGAGTGTGGCTGGAGGCGTCTTTTATTACAGCTCAGCTTCACAGCCCTTCGGAAGTCCTGGCAGTTACCCAGGACACTGCTGCCACCCTCTTGTTCCCTGCCAGTGATTGTGGATGAAAGCTAGTAGACAATGGGCTAACATCATTGTCAGCTTGCCTTTGTGGTTAACTTAAGTTGGCCTACAGCATCTACTGGTTTAGATGGCATCTTATGCCAGGTAGTGTAGTAACCCTTTGCTTTGTTTCTAAGACACAGGCCTCCTATTTAAGCAAGCTGGTTCCGAGTGGCCTAGGTTTGGATGACAGTGGATTCTTTATTCATTCTAGTTTCCCATTTAGAAGGACATTCACTGCAATACTGATACATAAACACCTACCTCCCAAGCACTCAAAGCTGCCATACATTCTTTCACATCTAAGCTTTTATGTATAGGTTTTTGACTTTGAATATTCTTGACACATCCAACAATTCATCACCTGAATATCATTAGATTTTATCAGCCATCCAGCCAATTCCTTTTCTTGTGAAATACAATCTACCCACCAAAGCAAAAATGAGCAGTTACACACTACAAACCAAGATAATGACTCCCAGCTTCCTGGGGCCACAGATTTCATATTTCAAAGCGATGCCATAAATCCAACACTATCAAATTTTTAAATGTTCATATGTTTTGTTCAGGGAGCTCCAGTTTGGAAATGTCTCCTTCCAAAACAAACAAATATGCAACGACAGGGTATGTAGCCTTGTCGATAGAAGTCATAGCCTGAATGCCTGTCACGAGGACACATAGGTTACATGCATAACAAGGCAGACCCTTGACTACCTGATAGACAAGTTAGCCTTATATTTTCTGAATCAATTTCCCAAAGGTCTTAAACGAATATATTAGGGCGCTATTAAAATAAAGACTATATACACAAATATACATTCTTGAAGCAAGGTGGTAAACTGCCCATCATTCTATGAAAAAATAGAGAACAAAGCAGTGGTCGGTATTTCCTGACTGTTTCCACAGTCAGATACATGTATACACTTAAATATGGAAAGCAGATAGAAGGTAAGGCTGGGGAGATAACTCCCACCCCTGTAGAGTGTTTACCTTGCAAATATGAAGCTTTGATTCCCAATTCCCAACACCACAGAAAGAGAGGGAAGAAAGAAAAAAGGAAGGAAGGAAGAAAGGAAGGAAGAAAGGAAGGAAGGAATGGGGATGTTGGGAAGGATAGCATTAGACATAGATTATAGTAATTACATGAGTGATAATTCCAAGTAATTTTCAATCACATTTTGAGGATTCCTGGATGGCTATGTAAGAAACTAGGACCTATGATTGTCTCTCAGGAAGGAAGTGGTTGAGGCCAACAGGATAGCTCAGTCAGTAGCATGCCCACCTTGAAAGCAGAAGGAGCTGAGTTTGATCCCCAATGGATGTGGTGGTACTCACCTATAATCCCAGCACTGGAGAGGTATAGACAGGAGAATTACTGGGTTTGTTGACCAGATGATATACCCTAACAGGTGAGCTCCAGGCCAGTGAAACACTCCCTGTCCTGCAGGAGGTGTACAGCATCCCTGAAAATAATACTCGTAGTTGTCCTTTGGCTTCCACATGAACATGAACATGCTGCATACACTAAAATTACTTTTGGCTTTGTTTTTAGAACAGAGCTGGCCTCAAACTCCACTGTATTCCTATCTGAACCTCTACAAGCATTCACTACCACTCCCAAATTAATAATAAAAATTAAATTTAAATTATAAATTAAATTATACATTAATTTTAACCGGCACAAAGCAAGAGACCACTAAATACTTCATGGTTGGTTGGTTGGTTGGTTGGTTGGTTGGTTGGTTGTTGCTTGCTTGCTTGGTTTCTTGGTTTCTTGGTTGGTTGGTTGGTTGGTTGGTTGGTGCTTGCTTGCTTGCTTGCTTGGTTGATTGGTTGGTTGGTTGGTTGGTCGGATGGTTAGTTGGTTGGTTCTTGCTTGCTTGCTTGCTTGCTTGCTTGCTTGCTTGCTTGGTTGATTGGTTGATTAGTTGGTTGGTTGGTTGGTTGGTTGGTTGGTTAGTTGGTTGGTTCTTGCTTGCTTGCTTGCTTGCTTGATTAGTTGGTTGGTTGGTTAGTTGGTTGGTTGGTTGATTGGTCTGAAGAGCTGAGGATAGAAGCCAAGGCCTTATATTTGTTAGGCAAACTTTTGCCACTAAGATGATTTCCCAGCCCCAACCTCTTGATTGCTTTCAAGAGAGAAAACATCTTATTCCCACAGTTGTGCATGTATTATTCAGAAAGGTGGGCTCTGTTATTTATTGACCTAAATTATGAACAGGCAACCGAAACAGCCTAAGCCTCTGATTCAGTCTTGTCATCTATGCTTTGAATAATTTATTTGGGTTCTATCTCTTATCCTGACACTGAGTCATTCAGACTTCAGTGGTTGTCCGTGTTTTAAGATATAAAAGAGAACTGCCCATCCAAAGGTCCCTCTAGAGTTGGGTTCCTGCTACATCACTGCCTCCCACTGGCTATAAATGCATGCTTTGTGACTTCTTGGCTATGAAAAATGGATGTCCCTCTGGGGAAAGTGACCAAGAGCTAAAATTACAGAAATGAATGGTTTTTTATGATACCTCATCTACAGAATAGATTGTCCTGTGAACATCAAAAATCTCCTTTTCTTCTTCTTCTTCTCCTTCTCCTTCTCCTTCTCCTTCTCCTTCTCCTTCTCCTTCTTTTTCTCCTCCTCCTCCTCCTCCTCTTCCTCCTTCTTTTTCTCCTCCTCCTCTTACTCTTCCTCCTCTTTCTCCTTCTTCTTCTTCTCTGTTTGGAAGATGGAAATTTAGTCTGTTTTAAAATCAAAACTGACAGTCTCCCAGAGTTTCTGGAAGACTGATAAAATTCTACAATGATGACCCTTTAGTTTTGAAAACTGCTCATCAGTATTAATTTCTGCAGCTATGTTTTCTGAAGGAAAACCCAAGCGCCACTTTGGATCATTGTTGACCAGCCCTTATTCAAATACTTAAGGAATCTGACTATGATCTGATACAAACTCTTATTATGTGTCCCTCCCTTAAGTGAAGGCACACTTTGAAATGAAATCCCTAGAGTTTCTGCCTGTGTGGTAGTTCTCAACACGAAGGTTATCTCCAATCAGATATAATATGCACAAAGCACCTAACTTGGTGCTGCATAAGAGACACTGTGCTGGGTGGCCCAGCCAGGGCTCAATGGCTTTGAACTGAATTCACTCAGACTGGCATTTTTGTCTGGCTAGAATTTTTTAATTAAATCAATAGATTTAATCTGTTTTAATCTCATATAATACAGCAACAGAGTGAACAAGAGGCCAACTTTAATAATATTTAAATAGAAAATAAGCACAAACCAGGGATGCCACCCAGAAAAGTCCATCTCGTTGCTACCACATTTTTCTAATATAAAGTTAATGGCTTGCAAAACACTGTGGGTTGCAGGAGGGGGGAGAGGGTTGGAAAGTTGGAACGCCCCTGCTGAATAGACTCCCTGGCTTTGGTAGTGCTGTCCCTTGGTGGCTCTTATTTCAGGGAAGCAGATAAATTCCAAGTTACTGACCACGTATTTCATAAGTGGGATGCCTTGAGAATGCAGATTGATATAGAGATAGACAGGTGATTACAATTAAAATAATCAATTAACAGCTTCTAGATCATTTATGCATGAAATATTCACCACACATTCACCATTTAAAAATGTAAAATACCAAATGCCCAAGCAATACGCTGATCCTATTACAGCATATACACAGAACAGGATGTGCAGAGATGAACAGTAATGCCAACGGCATTATCACCAAGGGAAGCTCGCGTGTTCTCACTTAAATGATGGGAAGCCACAGTCAAATCTATAAACACCACCTTACTAAGCTATATTTAAGACTCCACATAGAGACAAAAAGATGATAGGACAAATAATAACCTAAAATTGATGCCAGCTGGTAATAGCCGCCATCCATCTTTCTGCCATTTGCAAGGATGAGTGACTCCTAGTAGGTTTTTTTTGCAATGTACATATATACCAATTTTACAATCAGGAAAAAAATAACCCCAAATTAAATCTCATCACAGGCATTCCAATCCGAACAACCCTGGACAACTCCACAACAGTTCAGTATGCGGGTCTTCTCCACCAGCTGACCATGAAGGCCAAGAGTACAGTCAGGGACATTGACCCCCAGAACGACCTGACTTTTCTTAGGATCAGATCGAAGAAACACGAAATCATGGTAGCCCCAGGTAACTGGACATGTTGCTTCCTCCTTAAAATGCTTTTTCTGTTTTGCTGGTTAAAAAACCCTGTTTCAAAGACTGGGGGATTGTGGAATCTTGGTAGAGATACGGATCTTTAATATGTAACGTGAGGTATAAAGCTCTTTGATTACAAAAACAAAGTTTGATTCAGAAGAGCCAAACTCAAAAGCGGTATGAAATTACCAAAATAACTTGGCCTTTGAACAAGCTGAATTTTACCCCCTTACACTTACTGGTTATCAAAAAACGGATGCTGGAAACATGGTACACAGTCTTTCTGAGTAGTGGCAGAGATGGCCTATCCTGAGACTAAAGTAAGAGGTGAATCCAAAGCCTGTCAATCGTTACCTCCCTGTGAGGTGAGTGTGAGCAGCTGGTCTACTGGAAGACACAGCCACAGGGTCACTTCCTTGGAGGAATTTGCATTCCCACTGTTTCTGAATAATGGTGTTATAGTCACAAACCGAGCAGATAGCACCTGATCACATCCAATAAATAGTTAAAGTTTTATCTGTGACTGCACGTGAACACCACTTGTAGAATATTTATCCAAATTAGCCACACCCAGGGACAACAGACAAACGCTCTGCCGAGTCTGTGTGCTTTAAGCTTTTCCAGTGTGTCATGGGAATTCTGGTGTGCAGCCATTGTCTACGGTAGCTGAAGTGTTTGTGGAGTAGATATAAGTGAGTTAACCTCGTGTTTCTCCCTAGATAAGGAATATCTTCTGATTGTCATTCAGAACCCATGTGAGTAGACCTGCTGTGGCCAACCCTGTCCTCGTGACGATACCTGGAAAGCCTTCCCTCCTCTAATCCATAATATTGTACCCTGATTGAGTCCAGAGATATGCTCTCCTGTTCTGACAATGAAACTGCTCTACACGTTTCCCTAAGTCCCTTTGGACTGTATTGCAGTCTTGTACTTTTGCTGTCTAATAAACAAATTCTGCTATACATGTCTCTGTCTTTAAATATCCAGCGCACGTGTACACGCACATTAAAAACAAACAAACAGAAACTACAGTATCTGTTGATCCCTGGTTAAAAAGAACAGGGAGAAACGAAGAGTGGTTCTCACGAGAGGTCATCACTGCAGCTCAATAGCTTTGTCCTTCACAGAATCCCTCAGGCCACTGCCTGTGTTACGCCAGGTTCAGGGAGCCAAGAGTAGATGTTGGGCAAAGCTGTATACACACGAGGCAGAGGATAACTCCAGAGAACTTTGTCTTGACTAAATATCTAAAGCATTCACAAAATGCAATAAATGTAACAGATTCCTATGCAGGCTCACACCCATGCAGAGTAAATAGTTACGTTTGGCTACATGTGCTTAATACCCTCCCCCTTTTGGGTAACCCTTTAACTTTGAGTTGACTGAAAATTTCATGCAAGGTAGTAAAAAGCAAAGATGGCGCACCGATGATTACAGGTTACTCAGCTGAGTTCCCTGTCATGAGCAAAGAGTTTTCCTACCCCCTCATCCCAATAAAGTCTGGGTACCACCATACAGTACATATCCATTCCTGGACAGCTTCAGGAACTATCTTCTGAGAATACAGCATACACGAGATCTTGTTAGAATTCAAAAACCGAACAAATCCATTAATGGGGAAGGTAGTCCTGTTCCACTTAAGATTTGCAAAATTTCAAAGCTGGAGTGGACTAGAGAACTAAACTGCCTGAGCCCCTGGTTCCTCAGGTAAGGATTTCACCTGCACCAAATCCAGGTGTCCTTAAGACATCAGGTATGTGAGCTTGACATGGTCTGGATATATTGTTGGAATTGGCACACATGCCCTTTATTGGGGTACTCATGTGAGATCCCTCCACAGCCTCCAAAATTGCTTTCAGAAGCTACAGAACTGCATGTTGTTTTAAAAATATACCAGAAGTAATATCTGAGTCCTAAATCTGTCATCTGTCCTAACTTTCCCAGCCCATGCATGAGCAGATGCATGGCTGAGCGACAAAGCCACTTCCTTCTGCGGGGCCGGTCAAAAATTTCAAGCCCCATTTGAGACAGAGTGGTATGAAACTTCTGGCAAGCGTAGACGGCACCACTACAAATGCCAGGACTCCATGTGGGCTTGACTGGGGGCTCATCTGGGAAGGAAGGCCCTTTGTCCCACTGGGCAGGGAATCTACAGAAGCCTTCCTAGATTTGCATCCAGAGTCAACTGTGACCCTCCTTCTGGGCAGAGACTCTGGCAGTGAGAGGCAGAACTTCCCAGAGCCAACGGCAACTGAAGTGGATGTGGTCTTGTGGAATTTGTACCGTGTCTCCGCTCTAGTGCGTGAACCCCCCCCCCCATTCCCTCTTGGATTCACAGCAGCACAGGTAAGGAGCTACATTTCAGAGACGACTGCACAAAAATCCTAACGATCCAGATTCATCCAATGACATTGGTAGATTTTCTGTTTCCATTGATAAACACAAGCCTGGGCTCATGCTGTGCCTCTTTCTCATCCAGCTAGCTGTAAACTTTATCTGAACAACAGGAGAGCTATTTACAAGGTCTCCAGAGAGACAGATCCCAGCCATAAATATTAACAACAACGGACTTCAGGGTCAAGCGTAACCAGCCAGCCGAGAACACACGTACACACCATTAGCACCGTACACCCATCTCCATCTCTAAGGAGCAGAAACATTCCACTAGAGACTCTTAGGGATGTGTCCAGAGCTCTGAGACTGCCTATCTTCTTCTAAAGCCAAAATTACCACAGGGTGTGCACGTACACATGAATGCAGACGACTGTGGAGACCAGCAGAGGGCAGCAGATCCCCTAGAGCTGGAGTTCCAGTAGCCGGTTGTGAGTTACTTTGTGTCGGAGGGAAGCCAAACTCAGGCCCCCTGCTAAAAGCATTGGGAACTCTTAACCCCGGAGTTATCGCTCTAGCCCCTGTCCATGGCTTTCAAAAAAACATTACAATCATCCCCAATTATGTGTTTGGCACAAAGCAAAATATTCCCATCCCTACGTTAGGAAGTCACGCAATGTCCTTGAAATGAGAAGTGGAGCACGTGCAGACGAACTGAACACATTTATTCAGTAATATTTGCTCCTATGTTTTTAATGAGGAAAAAATGGAGGGTGTTTCGGACCACAAGAGTTTTCCGCGTGGTGGGAAAATCTCCAAGTAAGGATTTGAAAAAAAAAAAAATAAAACCATGGTTCATATCCTGAGAAACTGGGAGGGATCCTCATCCTTCCCTTCATCCTTCCCTTCACACAATTCCCTCTGATAACGGAGGCAGCTCAGAGATCTCTGGACAGTTTGAGACACTCAAGGCTGGCAACACTCTGTTAGACCAGCTGTGGGGAGTTGACTCATGTTTCATGAACATGAGTCTCCCTGAGGAAATAAAGACAAACCCCTGCTTGGGAAGTTGCTTACAGAGCAGGGTTGAGGGGTTACTTAATAGCAGCCTGAGCGGGCCCCAAATCAGTCTCACCCCAGTATGGATGACAACTTCCTCATATCTGCATAATTCGACTCTTTCCACTTGAGCTAGCCTTCTATGCTCTGTATCTAGCACCTCCTGAGAACTTGAGAGAACATGAAACCATGTGTGGCTTGGGCAGAATAACAAACAACCGTCAAGGAGGTACAAAGGGAGTGCAGGCACTCTCAGGGAGGGTCTAATGACACTCCTGGACATCTATCTATGAAGAAACTTCAACAGTCAATGAATATGCTTTTGGGGACTCTGGCCAGTATTCATGGAAGTTCTGATGGAGGTGATAATGGCTGTTATGTTTGAAGGACACCATTGTATAGACACGTACACCAAGCCATTCTCAAACTCAGAGGGAAGAGGAAGAAGCCTTCTCACTTCCTCTGGCTTCAGACCCTATGGAGACACCTGGCCCTCCTTTCCTTTCAGTATACATGACTTCAGGGGTCTCTTGATGGATGTCCTGAGTCCTGAACACTGGGCACATGCATGAATTGAAAAATTCTCCCTCTTTGCTCACCTTTACAACACAACAGACTTGAAATGGTACAGCAGCTAAGTCTCACTCTGTTACTTACTAGAAGAAACAAGCACCCCTTTTTATCCCAGGTTCTTGTCTGCAAACATGGAGAATGTCCACTCACAGTGGCCTTGAATTCTGATACAGTATAGATGTTGTTAATGTGAACCATGTGTCACCCACAGTGTCCTGATCCCTGATATAGTATAGATGTCTATCACCACCACCGTCAATTAAAAACATGTTTACCATTATAAAGTCATATACTGTATCTCACTGTGGCCTATCAGCTTCTCTTTAGTGTGGGGAAAATTTAAAAAGGCCGCTGTGGCGGTCCCACATTAGGGAAGAAGATCCTATGGTTCCAGCGGCCTAAGGGCCTTGGCGGTGGCAGGCCCCAGTAACACGAGGAAGTCCTTGGTTCCAAAAAGGTTTATTGTCATGGCGGATAATAGATGGATCTAGGCGTACCCCCAAAAAACTCAGGGCAGTCCCGAGTTATATAGGGAGGGAGAAAGGGGGAGGATTGGGGGAGGATCTAGGGGAGGCATGTTTAATTTGCTCTGCCCTCTGGCCTTCATTAGTATGTAAATCCCTAGGGCCTGAGGCCTATAGCCTGGCCTATGTGACTCTATGGAGATGTGACTGCTTTTCAGGATCCTAGATGATGGGAGGGACCGAACTCCTGCCGGTTCTCACGCAGAATTCCACGAATCTCAGGGTTCTAGGTACCTGCTCAACCATGACCCAGGATACCCTTATGCAGTCCCACACTTTAGCCACATGCACTAATACAGATTCTAATCCTGTCAAGTATGCAGTTTTGTACAACTCCTTGGCTTATGGCTTAATATGCATTTCCTTAGTCTTATCTAGAATTTACACTGATTTTTAAAAAAATATCTAAATGCAATTTCTTACACATGATCAAGAGTGCAAATCCTGCCCAGATGAGGCCAAGAAGAGGATGGACGTGTTCCTAATATTTAGATTTAGAGGAGTCAGAGAGGAAATCTTCCTCGTGGCTGAGCCAGCGCACGAGCACACGCTGGGGACAGCCGTATTTTCACAAGGTGCAACAGAGGTGCTAGCTCTCAGGAGGAAAGAACAGAGAGTAATACAGAAAGGTGGAGGACTCCTGGGGTTTCCCTATGTTCTAGCTTCTCAGATGTGTTTGACCCTTTGATATTATGAGTTGCCCCTACAGCTTTACATAAGAACTTCTCCCTGTGTGGAGTACATTTCTAGAGTGGATTCTGTGGCCTGAAACCAAAAGGACCTTAACTAACAAACCAGTGCCATATCTGGGTCATCTCTGGGATGCTTTACTCAGGCACAGCCAAGGAAGCAGAGTGAGCCTAGTGGCTTCCCAGGATGAATGCATTAATCAGAGATCTGAACAGATGGAGTGTGGTCACCTTCTCCTTTGCTCCAGAACATACCCTGTAGCTTTGCTAGACAGGAATGGGGCGTTAATGAACCCTCCAGGAGGCAGAACTCCAGGGACAGGTTGGGACTAAAATGTGGCTCTCACTGGGAAACAGGCTTTATTATTGTTAATTATGAAGTGACCTCTGCCTCCATCAATGACTAGAAAGATTGGACGGAGAGAAAGCAGCCATGTGCCTGGCTGTTTGTTGAACACAAAGAAAAGAAGGCTAAACCATCCAACTTACATTTGGCTTTGTACCTCTGAAAACATCCATTCCTTTTTCTCTCCCTTCAGCCTATACCACTTCAAGATTTACTCACTGGGTACCTTAGACTCTGACCACTCAAGGCAGACACAAACATCATTTGGATGTATTCGTTCAAAACAGGGCAGGTCATTGTCAAGAGCATCTTTTCTATGTGTTGGAGAATCACATAGAAAACAAACCGAGGGGCTGGAGAGATGGCTCAGCAGTTAAGAGCACTCACTGCACTTCTAAAGGTCCTAGTTCCCAGCAACCACATGGTGGCTCACAACCAT